TTCTGTTCGGTTGTCATGAAAATGCATCGACTCTTCAAAGTTTGTCTCAATTTGTCTTTTTGTGTCTTATATTTAATTTGTCGACAGTTTTTGATTCATTAGTTTTTGTGTTGATTTGTGTTATATTAAGGATTTTTAAAATTTATTTTATGCTTTCAAATAGCGTTTATATTTTTGAATAATTTTTGTTTTTTATGTAATTGCATTTGATCTAGCTCACCATTGAATGCATTGTATTTTTAGTGCAATTTAGTCATTAATTTCTTAGTAAGCAAATAGTTATCCCATTTGTTGCGGCGACTAAAACAACTCGCTTTTCCACTGCCATCCCTGACCCCCACCACCACCATAGGGTCGGCGCACGTATATCCCGAAGTCTCATCCGCCGATACCGGACAACGAGATCATAGACTCGCCATCCCTGCGGCGACTTATACTGGAAACGGCTGTCATTCTGGACATCCGGTCCCTGTTCGCGGACTCGGAGGACGAATGACATACAGTCGCTGTTGACATGATGTTTACGCTGGCGTAGAGGCACTACCGGTACTAACAAACTATACAAACAAACAAACAAAAAACAATAGCCCCGAACACCCGCCCCCGGACTCACTCACTCGGAAAACACATACACACACACCCGGCGCACCCGTCCCCTCCCGACCCCCTCCCCCGCAAACTCGATGACGCGGTCGAGTAAGTGAGAGATAGGACACTCGACCCGTCATACCTCCCACACCTCCCGGGGTGGGCGCGCCACCTCTTTTTTTAGATGAGACAACGCGTTAGTATATGTAATGATTATGAAATTATATACACATATATAACGCGATATATATATATTTTGCGACCAAATATTGCCCTCAATTTTACTCCAATTTTATTATACTGTGAGAAATGATGACAAAATGAAAAGCAACCAAAAAAACAACTCTTCTTCACACAAATCCTCTCTCTTTTTTGAATCTCTTTTTTTCTAATCGTTTACTAAATAATTATAATTGTCTTTACATTTTGTGACATATTTTTTGAGAAATCAAATTCAGAGATATTAATGATGATAATAATGATGAAAAAGATTTATTATTAGATTTTAGTGAATACGAGAGCGAATGGATATAAAACAAAATAACGAGTGAATTATAATCACTTCATTACAAACAAAAACTATTCATTAAACAAATAAAAAGTGATATTATATAGCGTTTTAAAAATGAAATTAAATGTCTATTCGCTCTCGCATTTTGAAACTCTTGTGCCCATTATATGACTTGAATTGAGATTTTACTTGATTTTTGTGAAATACGGCGACAAATACACGCAAAACACAGAGAAATATATTAAATATAAACAAAACTAATTACGAAATAAAACACAAACTGATAACAAACTAATCGTATGAATGATTTTTGGTGCACAACCTTTTTTAAAACTAGTATCCACTACCATAAAACCGATACATTAACTCTATTTGAATACACAGAATATTCTGTTATATTCTGTGCGTTTGGTGTATAGTTCACTGAATACCAGATCGTTTAGACACCACTAAACCTCTCATAGACTCTGTGTTTTAGGAATATTCTGTGCTTTTTGTCGACACAATTCGTTAACGTCTAATGAATTGTTACGAAAACATTGTTTGCAAAACACAAAACACTAATAAACTTAATCTCATGAGTGCCTCCACTACTGGTGTAATCGGATTGTTAACAGACAGGGAATCGATATATGACTTTAAATTATAAATATTATGATACTTAAGACAATTGACTGCAAAAAATACACATAAAGCAAAACAAATATACACCACATATAACACACTGAACCACATACACACACGGAATCTATAAGCTATAGTTCCCCTCCCTTTTCAAATGACAAGTGTTTTAAATTATGCATTAAAAGCCATTACAAAACGTACGGATAAAAGGCGTTTCACACCAAAAGGTTTGGTTTTTCTCAAACACTGACACAAACTCTCTGTCTCTCTATCTCTATATATAATATACAATATATTTCTGGTATTTATTGTTATTAAATCTCATCAATTGTTTCAATACACACGAAAAGAAATCAAATTTTATTATAAATTTCTATATATTTTCAAATTGTTAAACACACGGATACAATATACCACACAAACAGAAAAGTTGTTCACAAATAAATACCCCAGATACTAAAGACACATTAAATATATTTCCAAAAACCACACTTCACTGTACAGTGCAATGAGAAGTACTGTACGAAACTGTTTCGTCTATTCTTTAGGTTTATGAGAGAAAAAGATTTATTTTTTAAACTATAAATCAATGCAAAGAATTAGGAATCAGTTTTTCAATCTCTCTCTCTCTCTCTCTCCCCTCCCTTTCCTCCCTTCCCTTAAACTCTCTTTAAATTAATGACAAAATTATTAGTGAAATATAAAATCTACAAAACAAATAGAGGAATTAAAATTGAAAATAAAATAAACGGCTCATAGAAAAAATCTGCATAAGAATATTAGGCAACAAATTATATATGAAAATAATTTTAAGCAAACAAATTAATTAAATTGAAAAACTCATTTGTAAATACACTGTAAAGTATATATAATGAACCAAAACAAATACTATACTTATGTATAACTGTATATACAGTACATAATAAGTTATAAAATTTTAAGCAAACAAATTAATTAAATTGAAAAACTCATTTGTAAATACACTGTAAAGTATATATAATGAACCAAAACAAATACTATACTTATGTATAACTGTATATACAGTACATAATAAGTTATATTATATATATATATTACTTATATATTGTTTAAATTGAAATTTTAATTGAATGCGAGTTTTAATTAAATGGATGGAAAAAACAAAACACAAAAACACATGAAAAACGATTGAAAAAGTCTGTGAATCGCGAGTTTGAAAAGCAATTCATGAGTTAAACCAAAAATATTAATAAATTTACAATATTTTATTTTCACCACAAAATTACACGAAAAAATTGTTTAAAACAACTTTTATTTTGACAATTCTTTGACAACAAAAACCAATACGAGATCTGAAGAGCTAACTAATGAATTACACATCCATTTGATAATTCATTTCTCGGAATCAGATTTATATATAAAAACAAAAAATTGTTTTAATTATATATATATATATAATATATTCAAAAACCATTTCAATTCATATATAATATTCAGTGCCTCTTAACTAATGAACAATTGATAACATCTTTACGATTATGTATTCAATTAAATGAGAAAATACAACATAAAAAATCCACAAAAATTTAATTTAATTTTTCAAATCGAGTGCTAATTATTATTATAATAAAAAATGAATAAATTTACAAAAATTAAAACAAATTTCAAACTAATTATACATTTAATTATAAGTTATAATTTATAACAAAAACATAATTAAATGCCATTTTAATCGGTTATATAATTAGCTCTCGTTTTAAAGGTACAGAAAAATGTGAAATGAATTAAAAATTATAGCAAATTATAGTTGGCTTTCATTTCACTGTAAGTATTAGCAATGCATTGGAAAACATGATAAGTATAGCAATTGGTGTCAAATTGCCGGCAATTGAGAGATCAAGACGTGATGGTCACCACATGGCGACCATAGATCTGAGACATCAGTGTCTGGTTGACATGAATAAGTGGATACAATTAAGATTAAATTCATGAGATAAGTAAATGGCAAGTATTTCACACCCAAAAGTGTCCACAACTTTCTTACAGATGCTTACAGTTCAGAGGCATTCATACATAGCGTGATAAACATCGCAAAGTTTTATAAGCTATTCAAATACAGTTGATTTTTGCCGATTATATAGATTGTTAACATCTTTTGGAAACGGCTTTAATTAGTTGTATAAACCATTTAATGATCAAAACATTTATTTGATTCAAAAAACACAAAATTGAATATCAATTGAATGCAACACTTATCGTGTGAATAGAGTATAAATGCCGACACATATAACAATGCCCGCCGTAATGACAGTCGTAATGACAATCGGCGCCACATCTTCATCTGCGATAATCGGCTTCCTGTCCACCGATTCCGACAACCACTTCAAGTAATCAGGATTTCCTGTCTGTATCTAAGGATCACATCAAACACAACACATTACAAGACATTCATATCTATAAACAGGTCTTCGCTCGTGTCTTACGGGCACTGAAACCAATTCAAACACTTCGTACGGATGGCTGGCCTTCACCTCTCGGGTCACGTCTGGGATGCGATCGGTTCTCGTCTTAATGATCATCAATACCTCCGATTCCGTCTCAACGCTGCCTTTCCATCGATATATGGATGTAATGCCGGGAACTATGTTCACACACGCGGACAGCCGTTTGGACACCAATTTGCTATGAAAACAAGACAATGAGTTCATGAATAATGGTATGACTGCTGCGGAAGTGGACACAAAATACT